TTACTTTTAATGTGATTTTTGGTAGGGTTTGATATAAGTATATTATCTTGCTGTTTGCCCCATCTGTTCTTTGTCCTCTTTTTCTCTTTTTATGCCTTCTTTTGAATTACTTTTATATTTTTATATCTATTACATCTCCTTTGATGGCATGTCAGCTATGACATTTTTGTTATTTTATTGGTTGTTCTAGGATTTATATCATACATCTCTAACTTTTCACAGTCTACCTTCAAATGATATTATACGACTTCACATATAGTATAAAAATCTTAATATAAGAATCTTAAAGTAATATTCTTCCATTTCTCTCATCCCAACCTTTATGCTATTGTCATACGTCTTACTTTTTTTTTTTTTTTTTGTGGTATGCGGGCCTCTCACTGTTGTGGCCTCTCCTGTTGTGGAGCACAGGCTCCAGACGCGCAGGCTCAGCGGCCATGGCTCACGGACCTAGCCGCTCCGCGGCATGTGGGATCTTCCCGAACCGGGGCACGAACCCGTGTCACCTACATTGGCAGGCGGACTCTCAACCACTGCGCCACCAGGGAAGCCCCATCTTACTTTTATATATAAAATACATTGTTATTTTTGTTAAAGCAGTCTATTATTATTTAAAGAGATTTAACTAATAAGAAAAATCTTATATATATTACCTAAAGTATCACTTTGCTCAGGTCTGAAAGACAACCTTTAACATTTCTTTTAGTTGTGGATACACAGGCATATCTCATTTTATTGCACTATGTTTTATTACACATTGCAGATATTGCATTTTTTACAAATTGAAGGTATGTGGCAACCCTGTGTTGAGCAGGTCTACTGGTGCCATTTTTCCAATAGCATTAGTTTTTAATTAAGGCATGTACATTGTGTTATTGCACACTTAAAAGACTACAGTGTAGTGTAAACAGAACTTTTTTTTTTTTTTTTTTTTTTTTTTTTTTTTTTTTGTGGTACGCGGGCCTCTCACTGTTGTGGCCTCTCCCATTGCGGAGCACAGGCTCCGGACGCGCAGGCTCAGTGGCCATGGCTCACAGGCCCAGCCGCTCCACAGCATGTGGGATCTTCCCGGACCGGGGCACGAACCTTTGTCCCCTGCATCGGCAGGCGGACTCTCAACCAATGCGCCACCAGGGAAGCCCTAAACAGAACTTTTATATGCACTGGGAAACCAAAAAATTCATGTGACTTGCTTTATTGCAATATTCCCTTTCCTACAGTGGTCTGGAACCAAACCTGCAGTATCTCTGGGTTATGCCTGTACTAGGGATGAATTCCTTCAGTTTTTGTATGTCTAAAAACAACTTTGTTTCATTTTTTCCCCCTCCATTTGTTCATTTATATATTTATGTGACTTGCCTCTTTTTTTGGTGGTATAAAACACATAATGTAAAATTTACCATTGTAACCATTTTCAAGTGTACAGTTCAGTAGTGTTAATAAATAAACATATTCACATTGCTGTGAATGTGGTATGAGGTGATACCTCATTGAGATTTTGGTTTGCATTTTCCTAAAGATTAGTGATATTGAGCATCTTTTCATGTTTGTTGGTCATTTATAGATCATCTTTGGAGAAATGTCTATTCAAGTCCTTTACCCATTTTTAATTGGATTGACTGCTTTTTTGTGTTCCTCTTAATTTTTTGGATTTTTCCCCTGTGGTTTATTTTGGATGATTTATATCATTATGCTTTCAGATTTTGTTCTGCAGCATTTAATCTCCTGGTAATCCCATCCAGTGTATTTTTAATAAATAATTTATTTTTGTAGAGCAGTTTAGATTCACAGCAAATTTGAGAGGAAGGTAGAGCAATTTCCCATATGTACTCCCTGTCCCCTGACATTCAGAGCCTCCCCCATTATCAACATCCTCCCTCCGCCCCCGCCCCTCCGGTGTGGTACATTTGTTAACAAGTGATAAGCCTACATTGACACATCGTTATCGCCCAAAGTTTATAGTTTACATTAGGGATCACTCTTGGTGTTGTACATTTATGGGTTTGGGCAAATGTGTAATGACATGTATCCATCATTATACTATCACACAGAATAGTTTTACTACTCTAAAAGTCCTTTATGCTCTGCCTTTTCACCCTTCTTTCCTTCCCTCCCTCCAACCCCAGCTTCTGGCAACCACTGATCTTTCACTTTCTCCATTGTTTTACTATTTCCAGAATGTCATATGGTTGGAATCATACAGTATGTAGCTTTTTGAGATTGGCTTCTTTCACTTAGTAATATGCATTTATGTGCAATGTCTCTTCATGGCTTGATAGCTCATTTCTTTTCAGTACTGAATAATATTTCATTGTCTGGATGTACAACAGTTTATATATCCATTCACTTACTGAAGGACATCTTGGTTTCTTCCAAGATTTGGCAATTATAAGTAAAGCTACTTTAGGGCTTCCCTGGTGGCGCAGTGGTTAAGAATCTTCCTGCCAATGCAAGGGACACAGGTTCGAGCCCTGGCCAGGGAATATCCCACATGCCGCGGAGCCACTAAGCCTGTGTGCCACAACTACTGAGCCTGAGCTCTAGAGCCCTCAAGCCACAACTACTGAGACCATGTGCCACAACTACTGAAGCCTGCGCACCTAGAGCCCGTGCTCTGCAACAGGAGAAGCCACGGCAGTGAGAAGCCCGCACACCGCCAACGAAGAGTAGCCCCTGCTCACTGCAAGTAGAGACAGCCTGCACACAGCAACAAAGACCCAACACAGGGCTTCCCTGGTGGCGCAGTGGTTGAGAGTCCGCCTGCCGATGCAGGGGACACGGGTTCGTGCCCCGGTCTGGGAAGATCCCACATGCCGCGGAGCGGCTGGGCCCGTGAGCCATGGCCGCTGAGCCTGCACGTCCGGAGCCTGTGCTCCGCAATGGGAGAGGCCACAACAGTGCGAGGCCCGTGTACAGCAAAAAAAAAAAAAAAAAAAGACCCAACACAGCCATAAATAAATAAATAAATAAATAAATAAATAACCATGTGCAGGTTTTGTGTGGGTGTAAGTTTTCAATTCCTTTGAGTAAATACCAAGGAGTATGATTGCTGGATTATATGGTATTGGATTTTGTCAAATGCTTTTTCTGTATCTATTTATAGGATCTTGTGATTTTTCTTATTTAGCTTATTGACGTGATCTATTGCATTAATTGATCTTTTTCATGTTGAACCAGGCTTGCTTTCTTGGCATAAATTCCACTTGGCTGTGGAATGTAATATATGTACATCATTGGATTTGACTTGCTAATATTTTTGAGGATTTCTGCCTCTTGTTCATGAGAGATATTTGTTGTAGTTTTCTTGTAATATCTTTGTCAGGTTTTGGTATTAGAGTAATGCTGACCTCATAGAATGAGTTAAGAAATATTCTTTCAGTTTCTGCCCACTGAAAGAGATTGAAGAGATTTGGTATAATTTCTTCCTTAATTGTTTGGTGAACCCATCTGGGCCTAGTGCTTTCTGTTTTGGAAGGTTACCTATTATTAATTCCATTTCTTTAATATATAAGCTTATTCTCCAATGTATTTTTCATCTCAGAAATTGTAGTTTTCATCTCAAGAAGTTGATTTCAGCCTTTTTAGTCTAAACTTTTTGAACATATAGGATATAGTTGTACTATCTGTTTTAATGTCCTTCTGTGCTAATTCTAATAACTGTCCATTCTAAGTTGATTTTGATTCATTGATTATTCTCTTCATTATGAGTTGTATTTTCCTGCCTCTTTGCATCTTATCTTTTTTTTTTTTGCGGTACGTGGGCCTCTCACTGTTGTGGTCTCTCCCATTGCGGAGCCCAGGCTCCGGACGCGCAGGCTCAGCAGCCATGGCTCATGGGCCCAGCCGCTCCGCGGCATGTGGGATCTTCCCGGACCGGGGCACGAACCCGTGTCCCCTGCATCGGCAGGCAGACTCTCAACCACTGCGCCACCAGGGAAGCCCTGCATCTTATCTTTGATTAGATGTCCAACATTGTGAATTTACCTTGTTGGTTACTGGATATCTTTGTATTCTCATAAATTTTCCTGAGCTTTGTTTTGGGATGCAGTTAAGTTACTTTGGGGCTTTGCTTTTACAATGTTGGGTGTGTCTGGAGCAGTGCTCAGTCTAGGACTAATCATTATTTCCCACTACTGAGGTAAAATCTTTCTGAGAACTTTACCCAATGTCCTGTGCATTATGAGTTTTTCAAGTCTTGACTGGTGGGAACAGGCTCTCTATTCTGTGCTCTGTGTGAGCACAGGACACTGTTCCCTGTTATTCTTTCAGATGGTCCTGTCCCTGGCCCCAAATCATTTCCTCGCATACATGCACAGTGCTCTGCTGTGTATTAGAAGGAGACCCTCTGCAGATCTCTAGGGTTCTCTCTCTGAGCAGCTCTCTCTCCCTGGTTTTCTGTCTTAGGAACTCTAGTTGCTTTTGTGTCCCTGGACTCAGGGAGTCTACCAGGCTCCACCTCAACTCCCTGTGCTGCTGCCTCGAAACTTTCAAGGCAGTAAGCTGGGGCACCTGTAGGGCTCACTTCATTTGTTTTCCATCTGTCAAGGATCACTGTCTTTTGTTGTCTAATATCTAGTGTCTTAAAAACCATTGTTTTTTTGTATTTGGTCTGGTTGATTTCTAGGTTGATTTGTTTGTTTATCTATTTGGTTGTTTAAGGTGGGAGGACAAGCCCAGTCCCTATTACTCTATTTTAGCCAAAAGCAGAAGTCCTGTCTACTTGTAGTTTTAACCTGAGAAAGTTCTTGTATTAGAATTCTTAAAGGAAAACTCTTTTAGTAGTAACCATTGGTCATTTCCATCCAGGAGGCTATGTGTATACATGAACTACGGGATAAACTCAAATCAACCAGCAGGAGTTTTTGAGGCTTTTCTAGGGGTGTTAAACTGCTTTCCTGACTCCCCTGTTTCTGGGAATTTCTTGAGTTATTTGGATCTAGAAGCTAATTCTAAATAATGATTTTATGAAATTCCTAACCACGTTATGATTTTATCCTCAGAATTAAGAAAAAGAAAGAGCAGCAACGTTATGCTGAAGAGCAGAGGATATTAAGAATGAACTTTCATGAAGAGCCATATTCAGGGGAGAAGATGAGTGAGATACTAGCCCAGCTACAACTTGAGGAAGGAGCCAGAGAAAAACAACAGAAAGAAAAGGAACACCAAAGGTACTTTGAAAAGTTCTGTGTGAAATTTTGGCTCTAGAGGAAACTTGTTAGGAAGTCAGTGTTCTCATTTTCCTTACAGAAGAGTTGACTGTGTCTTCTCATACTTTGGGGAGTACAGAACTTCATCACATTTCTTGATTGCCTAATACCTCTCTGGAATCGCACTACGTGTTTCCTAGTGCTGCTTCCCAGGACCAAGAGGAAGAGTTGAGGCACAGAGATATGAAATAGTTTAACAGTTAAAGCTGGTAGTAAAATAAGGACTCATACTCATTCTCTTCCTAGTGGTTCACTTTGCCTGGTCATACTGTATTTTTATAGATATGTAGAAGCTTTAAGAGCCCAGATCCAGGAGAAAATGCAGCTGTATAATATTACTTTACCTGCACTATGCTGCTGTGGTCCTGATTTTTGGGATGCTCATCCTGATACCTGTGCCAACAATTGTATTTTCTATAAAAACCACAAAGGTAAGTCTCTTAAAGGAATGGTTGGGGCCTGGTGGCAGTTAAGAAAACAACAACAGTAAAAGTAGTGATTGTAGTAATTTAGCATTTATTGACTAAGGGCTTACTATATATCAGAGACTATTCTACCCCCTTTGCAAAACAACTGTGAGGCAATAAAAATAATTATAGTGAGTTATATTTCTCTTTGAGATCTGTTATCTTCTTGTCTCCATTTATGCTGGGGAAATATTTCTAGCTCACTCCACAGTAGTGAGACTAGGGTTTCAGGTCCTCCTGTAAATGAAGAATATTAGAGCTTGCCTCTTACGGCCATCTAAGTTAGGCCTTATCTAACATAGACTTATTATTTATCTTCACATATATGTATATTATTTATAATGTGTAGATATCCACATTAGACTTTCAGTTCTGCTAAGGATCACTGAGGGAAATGAGGACCAATATAAACTCTACCTTTATCAGGGATCCCAGCTAGAGAAGATGAGTCATTCCTGCTGTGACTAGTATTTCTGTTTCCTGTCCATTCTTAAATATATTGATTTACATACTGTAGAGATTATATAGGCTTCATACACACACTGAAAGTACTGCAAGTATTTGTATTCCTGTTGCCCTGTGATAAGAGTTCCTTATCAGTCCTGTGAGTTATATTTTAAAAACACAAATCTGATCATGCCATTCCCCTATCATCAAACCCATAGGACTTACCATTACAGTACAAAATACATGTCGTATTTGGCATATTTTCTCTCTGGCTCCGGGCAACACTCCAGCCTTATCGAACTTGCTACTGCCAGGACATGCCACATTTTTTTATACCTTTGCACCCCACACACTCATTTCTTTGCCTAGAATGCCTTCTTTCCTTTATTTTTATTAATCTTTCAAGACCATCTTAAATGTTACCACTTCTGGAAATCTTTTCCATCCTCTCCTAGTTTTTCTTTCATTCCAAACTTCATTCTGTGATGACATTTTGTATATGCCTCTGGTCTGGAAATATTACACTGCAATTTAATTTTTGTGTCCATCCTCTCCCTTATCTTTTCTGTAATCACAGAGTACTTGGCATGTGGTAAGTACTCAATAAATATTTATTCAGTGAATGGGTTAAAGTTAATTCCTATGAGACTGGGCAGAGAAACAGTACTAAAAGAAAAAGGTTGGGAGAATTGTTTAGAATCTGACTTCATTCACCACTGTTCAAATCTTTATTTGCAGCATATACCCGGGCACTATATTCAGTCATCAATTCCTGTGATATCCCTGAAGGGAACTCAACTCTTCGAGTCGCCATTCATAATTTTGCTTCTGCACACAGACGGACTTTGAAAAATCTGTAATAAGAATCTGAAATCAACTTAGTATTTCAACCTTCATTTAAAGTCAACCCTGAGAGATTATTTACAAAAAGCTGTTAAAGTTTATAAGATGTGTAATCTGAAAAGAAAGACTGTTCCACATAATAACAGCTATCACTATAATTAGATCATGACCATTGTTTCACTCTGTGCTTGGCACCAAGGTTGAAAGTTGGCTTCCAAACTTGTCTCTTTGCTGTAAACCACATGGACCACGTTGCTTTAAAAATGATCAGTCAGACTGGTAAGGTTTCTCTCACTTTGCTCTGCTCTGATCAGAAGAGATTATTAGAAATCTTTGAGATTATCTCATTTATTGTCTTTCTATATCTGTACTTTGAGTCTTGACAAAATTGAAAATGTCTGGATGAAGCAAAAGAGGGGATGATGAAATGAGTTTCTGAGCCTCAGTGGCCATCTGTTTTGCTGTTAACTTTTCTAGTTGTATATAACAATTAGAGATGAGAACAATCTGAATTTGATGTATGTTTTCTTTTCTCAAAAATTTTTCTCTCCTGTTTTTTAATTTATTCCCTCTTTCCCCATTTGGTGACAATGGACATAGGACTTCTTAATTTTTTTTTTTTTTTTTTTTTTTGCGGTACGCGGGCCTCTCACTGTTGTGGCCTCTCCCCATGCGGAGCACAGGCTCCGGACGCGCAGGCTCAGTGGCCACGGCTCACGGGCCCAGCCGCTCCGTGGCATGTGGGATCTTCCCAGACCGGGGCACGAACCCGCGTCTCCTGCGTCGGCAGGCGGACTCTCAACCACTGCGCCACCAGGGAAGCCCAGGACTTCTTAATTTTATAATTTTTATTGCAAAAAAGAGAAAGGCAAGTAAACTCTGTCTTTTGGGCATCTTTTATGTGAAATAATTGTGAGTGACATTTCAAAAAGTGAATCTGAAGTCAAAGTGAATAAAGTTCTACCTTACTTCCCTATCTTTAAAAAAATCTGGTGAATGCCATACCTACAGAGCAGATGAAATAAAAATTGCTATAGTTAGTATGAATTTGTTATTTCTTCACAGTGTTTCTTGACACAAAATATGAAAAGGTTTAATATTGTGAATTAAAGATAGGTACTGACATTTTCTTTTTCCTATGTCTTCTAATGGTCAGTGTTAAAAAAGCACTTAGGTTATGTCTCAAAAAACACCTAAATATCTAGCCAGGTCATTGCAAATAAGAGTCAGAATTACCCATGTGACAAGATTGACTGGTTATTTAACCAGATTAATTATTCAGTTCAGTCAAAATCCTTATGTAACTATATCCTTGATTTGGCCTTTCTGAGTTGTATTTTTTAACAGCTTCATTGAGATATAATTCATAGACCATTTGTTTCACCCACTTGAAATGTACAATTCAGTGGTTTTTAGTATATTCTAGGGTTGTACAACCGTCACCACTAACAAATTTTAGAACACTTTTGTCACTCTAAAGAGATGCCCCTGTGATCCAGCAAACCAAAATAATTGAAAGCAGGACCTTCAACAGATATCTGCACACCCATGTTCATAATGGCATTATTCACAATAGCCAAGGAGTGGAAGCAACCTGAGTTTCCAACAGCAGATGAATGAATAACCAAAATGTGGTATATACGTACAGTGGAATACTATGCAGCCCTAAAAAGGAAAGAAATCCTGTCACGTACTATAGCATGGATTAGCCTTAAGGACATGATGGTAAGTGAAGTAAGCCAGAAACAAAAAGACAAATACTGTGTGATTCCACTCATATGAGGAACCTAGAGTAGTCAAATTCATGGAGACAAAGTGGAGTGGTGGTTACCAGGGTCTGGGAGGAGGGGGAAATGGGAAGTTGATTAATGAGTAGAGTTTCAGTTTTGCAAGATGAAAAAGTTCTAGAGGTCTGTTTCACAACAATGTGCATATACTTAATACTACTAAACAGTATACTTAAAAATGGTTACAATGGTAAATTTTAGATTATGTGTGGTGGGTTTTTTTTACCACAATTAAACTTTTTTTTTTTTTTTTTGCAGTACGCGGGCCTCTCACTGTTGTGGTCTCTCCCGTTGCAGAGCACAGGCTCCAGACGCGCAGGCTCAGCAGCCATGGCTCACGGGCCCAGCCGCTCCACGGCATGTGGGATCCTCCCGGACCGGGGCACAAACCCGTGTGCCCTGCATCGGCAGGCGGACTCTCAACCACTGCACCACCAGGGAAGTCCTAAACTTTTTTTTAAATATAGAAAAGAAAAATCCCATACCCATTAGCAGTTGTTTCCCACTCCCCTGGCAATCACCAGCCCACTTTCTATCTCTACAGATTTGTCTATTTTGGACTTTTCATATGAATGGAATCATATAATATATAGTCTTTTGTGACTGGAGTCTTTAATTTAGTATAATGTTTTTCAGATTTGTGCATGTTGTAGTGTGTATCAGTACTTCATTGCTTTTATTGCTGAATAATATTCTACTCTATGGATGTACTGCATTTTATTTACCCATTTATCAATTGATGAACATTTGGGCTGTTTCTACTAATTAGCTATTATGAATAAGGCTGCTATGAACATTTGTTTACAAGTTTTTCTGTGGACATACGTTTTCATTTCTCTTGGGTATATACCTAGGAGGGGATTTGCTGGGTCATATGGTAGCTGTACGTTGAACATTTTGAGGAACTGAAAACTGTTTTACAGAGTGGCTGCACCATTTTACATTCCCACCAACTGTGTATAAGGGTTCAGATGTCTTCACATCCTCCATCCCTTGTCCTTATCTGTCTCTTTAATTATGGTCATCCTACTGGGTATGAAGTGGTATCTTGTGGATTTGATTTGCATTTTCCTGATGGCTAATGATGTTGAGCATCTTTTCATGTGCTTATTAGCCCCTGGTATATCCTATTTGGAGAGCTGTCTTTTAAGATCCTTTGCCATTTTGTAATTGTGTTATTTATCTTTTGATTATTGAGTTATGAGAGTTGTTAATATATTCTCCATAAGGTCCATTATTAGACTTATGATTTGCAAATATTTCCTGTTGTTCTGGAGATTGTCTTTTCACTTTCTTGATGGTTTACTTCGCAGGACAAAAGTTTTTAATTTTGAGGAAGTCCAATTCATCTACTTTTTCTTTTGTTGCTTTAGCCATTACCTAATCCAAGGTCATAAAGATTTACTCCTGTGTGTTGTTCTAAGAGTTTTATAGTTTTAGCTCTTACACCAAGGTCTATGATCTATTTTGAGTTAGTATTTGTATATAGTGTTAGATAGGGGTCTAACCTCATTCTTTTGCATGAGGATATCTAGTTGTCCCAGCGTCATTTGTTCTAAAAACTATTATTTGCCCCACTGAATTGATGTGACACTGTTGTGTCAAATCAATGGACCATTGGGACTTCCCTGGTGGTCCAGTGGTAAAGAATCCGGCTTCCAATGCAGGGGACACAGGTTTGATCCCTTGTCGGGGAACTAAGATCCCACATGCCTCAGGGCAGCTAAGCCCGCAAACCACAACTACTGAGCTCACACCCTTCAACTAGAGAGCCCACGTGCCACAAACTACAGAGCCCACGTGCTCTGGAGCCCGCATACCACAACTAGAGAGAGAAAAACTGCACGCCACAACTAGAGAGAAGCCCTCACGCCGCAACAAAAGATCCCACATGCCACAACAAAGATCCTGTGTGACGCAACTAAGACCCGATGCAGCCAAAAAAAAAAAAAAAAAAAATCGTTGGACCATTAATGTTAAGGTTTATTTCAGAACTCTCACTTCTATTCCATTAATCTATATGTTTATCCTTAAACCAGTACATTCTGTCTTGATTATTGTGGTTTTGTAGTAAGTTATGCAATCTAGAGGCATGAGTTCTCCAACTTTGTTCTTCTTTTTCAAGATTGTTTTGCTACTGAGTCTCTTGCATTTTTTATACAAATTTTAAGATCAGCTTCCTGCAAAAAAGCTAGCTGAGATTTTGATAAGGATTGTGTTGAATCTATAGGTCAATTTGGGAGCTATTGCCATCTGATCCATGAACATGGGATGTCTTTCCACTCATTTAAGTCTTTAATTTCTTTCAACAATCTTTTGTAATTTTCAGAGCATAAAATGTGTACTTTTTTGTTAAATTTATTCCAAAGTATTTTATTCTTTTTGATGCTATTTTAAATGGATTATCTCCTTAATTTTATTTTCAGATTGTTCATCACAAGTGTATAGAAATACAATTGATTTTTGTATATCAATCCTGTATCTTGTAACCTTCCTGAATTAATTTTTTATGCCTAATAGTTTTTTAGGGCATTCCTTAGGATTTTTCATCTATAAGATTTTCTCATTTGGAAATAGAGACAGTTTTACTTCTTTTCCAATCTAGATGCCTTTGATTTCTTTTTCTTGCCTAATTGCCCTGGATAGAACATCCAGTACAATGTTGAATAGGAATGATGACATCTGTGTCCTGTTCCTAATCTTAGGGGGAAAGCATTTAGTCTTTCACTATTATGTGGGATGTTAGCTGTGCATTTTTCTTGGATAGGCTTTATTAGTTTAAGGAAGTTCCCTTCTATTACTAGTTTGTTGAGTGTTTTTATCATGAAAAGTTGTTGGGTTTTGTCAAATGCTTTTTTTGCATCTATTCAGATTATCATGTATTTTTGTCATTTTTTCTATTAATAAGATGTATTATATTAATTGATTTTCAGATGTTAAAGTTTTTCACTCCTAGGATAAGTTGTATTGGTTTTTATTTGTTTCTTTGGTCTCGTCTAACGTGTTTTGATTGTTTTTTTGTTTTTTCTGCTTGTTTTGTTCTACTTTTTTAGTTTGGTTATCTGATACAGGTGAATTGACTTGTCTGACATCAAGTTAATGGTAGAATGGTGATGGGATTAGGTCTTACACAGGACCAGGGAAATTTCAAGTCTTCTTCCTCTAGGTTAAGTCTATGAATATAAATCTCACCTGAGAATGAGTATGCTTTTGTATTGTAGTTTGGTTATGTGTAGACAGTACCTAAAGGTTTATTTTTGTGGCGTTAGAGAATACTGGGATAACTAGCAGCTACCAAGGAGGAAGCCTGGGTCTCATGACCCTTAGTGATGATAGGGCAATGAATCCTGTTTGAATTGGATGAATGTGCTTTGGAAAGGAGCCTGGACTCTAAGACTTTGCCTGAATTTACACGTTTCTGAAGTCATGGTTGGGAGGACAAATTCTACAAGTTTTCTAAATTAGCAGGGACTAATAAGGAAGAAGAGGCCTGAAGATAAGATTGAGCCTAAATGAGATAGATTTTGATTTCAGGGCAGGGCGGTGAGGGACAGGATTAAAATTGGGCCCACTATTTCAAATAAGGTAGGTGACAGACATTTCAAGTGAAAAACGATTGATTAAGAATGAACACTTTCCTAGATAACTGTTTCTTTTTTTTACTCTCTTCAAAGTTCCTGTAGGTTTTCCCTCACACTTACTCTCAGTTGGTGACGATGCTTTCT